ACACACACACACACACACACACACACACACACACACACACTGACCTGAAGACGAAAGGAGGAAGACTTTCGAAACTTCGTCCTCTACATTTGTAGGTTTCTACAACAGGCAGTTGCTGTCCATTTGAAACTTAGATTCAATGTATATATACTTTAGAGATTTGTTTTAATTAGTTGGTGTTGCCTACTGCTACCTGAAGCTCTTATAACAGAGTTGTTACAGAATCTGTTTTTGTTGCTTAGAAGTTAGAATATTTGCAAGAAAGATATTTTTCTTATTGTTGATGTCCAAAATAGGTCAAATGCAAGTACTGTGTTTTTAAAGTGGTAACTTGAAAAATAATTTAAAACAGAAATTCCATTTATGAATGCTAAAATATGAATTTAGGTGTAGACTTTGTAATTTTTTCTAAATATAATACTATTTAATTTGAACTACAAAATTTGAAATGTTTGTTTTTAACTGTTTTTATTTGGATATCAATCATATCACTAGAAATAAAGATATAAGCTTTGAAATTACTGAATTATAACCTGAGGTAATCATTTACAGAATATATTAAGGTTACTTTAACCTTGTTTTACTTAAGTTACTTTACGACCATATGGTCAACATTGGTTAATTCAAAGTTTTTTATATAATTATAGTGAAAGTATCTTCTGATATGATATCTTACTTCCTCTCACAAATAGCTTTTTTTTATTATACTGCCCTCTATACATGCAAATTTTTTCTCGCCACTAGCCTTGATACTCCTACCCACCCTCATCTGCATAATATGCAAATGATCACACAGCAACTCTCCACCAATAGGAGAGTGACACAACTCCTATCGTAACTAGTGCCCTGTCTTTGGAGCAGTCTGTAATCACTTCTCGATTGACATTCATACTGATAGGATGCGTTTTCACTTGTGCTTTCCAACTGAGTGTTTAATTTTTTTTCTAAGTTTTTTTTTTTTTTTCATTAACAGTTCCTATAATTTTTTTCAAGTTTTTTTTTTTTTCATTAACTAGTTCCATAATTTTTTTTAAGTTTTGAGTTTTATTTTAGACACACATCTATTTTTTCTGTTTTTTCAAACCATTTTTTTTTTAATTTTCACTATTTTTTTTAACTTTCTTCAATTCTCCTTTTTGTCAATCCACTCCACTCGTCATGAACTTGCAATTCCCCATGGCAACTAACACTGATGCTGTGATTACGCCACTTCAATAGCATCAAGGCAAACTTTATCTTCTCAGGAAGTAACGGCTTTGGTTTGAAGGGAGTTGGCTACCTTTATACAGTCTACTGATTTGCTGGATGATTGTCCTCTAATACCATGTGCAGGTATGCCTGAGAATGAGGATTTGATTTGACAGCCTATTTCCTCCTTCTGCCTATGGTTTACAGTCACATTTTGTTTTGGGGGAAGTGCCCAGGCCTCTTTCTCCCTTTGTCAACATAATAAATCAAGGATATTATATTTTATCTTTGTCTCCCATTTCCTATGATTTCTCAACTGCCCTTCACTGTGACACGCTGGTGGGACAGTATCTAGTATCTTTCTGTATATTCTTTTGATAAGCTTGGGTCTTCCATTCACCTGTCCTTCCTTTTTTTTTCATTCAATCTGCCTCACCTATCCCCCTTGTCTGGCATCTCACGTGGATTGGAACCTCATTGTAGTCTTCCGTGCCCTTACCCTTCCTTCGATTGATCCATTGTCCACCTTTTCTTTATATCACCTCTCCTTGAAGATCCTTTTCCTTTTCTTGTTGGCATGCAGATGTCATCGATTAGACATGTTTGCTGTTGATGTCCACCACACTTTATTTCACAGTTTCTATGTTGTACTTTTCCCTGATCATTTTTTTCCTGCTCAAAACTTTGGATGCTTGGGAGGGTAATTCTGCTTTCACACCCATCTCCCTTCTTTCGTTATCATATTTATAACCATTCTGACCCAGATCGCCTACGTTGCTCAGTCAAGGCTCTCCACTGTTAAGTAGCACATACTGCTTTTTTCCTTGGTTCTCATTCCCATGTGTTTATTCCTTGGAATTATTCCCAGTCCGATGACCTTTCTCCTATTACCCTTATGGTTTGGATTTACCAGGCCTATTCTTCCCTTTCACTGGATGTTTGTTGTCTTTTCCATGTCCCTTCACATCAAATCCATCATCTTACCATGTCCCTGGCTGTTCATTTCTTTCATCTGTTTAAAGACATCATCTGTGCTGGTATATGGACCACTCCCCATACCTTCACTGCTCCTAATGCTCATTATCTTCACCACCTGGCTGTTTCCTGTTCTTTAGGTTTTCGTCTTCCTCCCATCACCATTTGTGCTCCACGATTTCTCTATGAGTGGGTTAATGCTCCTTTTTTTTTTTCTACCTTTTTTTTGCAGAGGCCCTTTTTGCATCTCAAGATCCTCCTTTGTGACAAGAGTAAAGCAGCTGGTGATTGCTGCTCATCCCTGATGATCTGTGTTGTGTAGGTCACTGGATTAGTGTGCTTTTCAAAGTATGGTGTTGCAAGTCACCCATTGCACTATCGTCAGCAGCATTCCTATGGACTCTCCAGTGCATTGTTTCCCCCTTCTTGTGAAGTCATGCAAATGTTTTCTTCTTGTACTGTATATGTGCATTTCTTTGTCAAGTTATGCATATTTGATGTAACATTCAATAATTCAAATGGACTCTCAAAACTTATGCTGTAATTGTTGATTATGAACATGAAAGTATGTTATAAATATGACTTGAGTGATAAAATCAAATTATTAATAAATGTCAAATATATAGTGTCAGTACACTTGTGAGGATCTCTAGATTTTTCTGGATATATTTACATAGGTTCCATAATTACATTTGTTTGTTCATAACAAAAGTACTTAATTAGATAATTAATTTTAAAAGTTTTATTTATTTGTTTGTGTTTAGTAGTAAATTTCTTACATATTTATTTATAAGGAATAATAACAATAGTATCTAAGGTATAGTACTTCCAGACTAAGTTTCAAAAAATATTTTAGATGAAAAAAATTTATAAATGTCAATCATACCAAAATGTTTTGCTTCCAAAAGTGGTAATTTCTAGTATAATTTATTCATCTTTGTTTTATAACTGCCCAGAATGATCAATACTAAGTATTTTCTTTTATACTCAACAGCATATTTGCCTTTCTTAAAATCACCTACGATGTCTAAACGTGAGACTGGACCTTATCCGTTGGAAACTGGAAGGCTATATTATCTTAATCCATGGATCCAGAGTATTCCATATGGACCTGCATGGGATAAAAAGGGTAAGGCAAATATCAGTTTGTTTTTTCACACATTTTTAATATTTGTTTGGTATATCCTGATAAAAACTGGTTTGCATAATAACAGGAGATTTGATCAGGATATGTTTTTACATAATAAGCTAAATCTCTAAATTACTCAGTCTGAGAAAGAGGATAGACCCAGGTTAATGCAAAGAATGAATCATCTTTATTAATCTTATGTGTATGACTCAGTCAAAATGTGCATGTCATGACCTCTTACATTCAAAATTTAATTGTCTCTCCATAGGTAAGTCATTTTTCATGACTTTGAAAACATTAATCTTTACATGCTAGAACTCTGAATTTTCTAATTTACTGATATTACAAAATCCTCAAATCACGAGGCATCCCCTAGCCCTCATTATGTAGCGTTGCACTTAACAACAAGCAAACACAATGGCAATATTTTGATTACTTGGATTTTTTTAATAATAGGAAACCCTAATTTCAAGTAGTTGGTTTTTTCATGACAGTTGATTTACATATAATTTTCATTAATTGATTATTGAAATAATCAAAAGAGTAAAAATCAGATCAACTAATTTTGATTAATTGAATATTTTGTGACATTAGTCAATTAAATTGCCCAGTTCTTTAACTGAGTGACTGAATAGATGTAATAACTCTCATTATCTAACACTGAATAACTTTCTTGACACTAAAATAACTTCTAATCAATGATAATTCTGAATACTTCATAGAATTCACATTTATTACACAATCACTCATTTACTATTCTGAACTAAATAGTGATTTGTATTTATATATGGAGTCTTGTTTGTTAATATTTTGCTGTCTTTTGATCACTACATTATCATTATTAGCAGCTCTCTCTAGCAAACAACTAAATCAGACCTAATACAGAAATATAATACTACACTAAACTGTCCATTCGGAAAGACTTTATGGTGGTTTTCGCTTCCACACCTATTAGATACAGATTGGATGACCTCTTGACTGTTATCATCACTTGCTGTTCTGTCATTGTGAGGTTCTCCTTAGGTAGGTAGGTGGTATGATGATCCTTTAGAAGTAGTTTTAACAGAGACTCTGAAGTCTTGCAAAGGCAATTTCTTCTCTGGAGCTACCCATTTGTCCATTCTTTTGCCACTGTACTTCCAAAGATGATCATGGTGGATGCCTTTGACTTGGACTACTTGTCATTTTGGAGTCTGTAAACGACCTAATTTCAGAATAAAGTATGATCTTCTGAATGCCTATTTAACTTAGGAGTTTGCCCTTTCTTTTGAGGAGAATTGTTCAGCCATATAATGCCATCTTGATGAAATCCAATTTTATTAGCATTAACATCATGGGAGTTTTTTTGTTCTATCACATTCTGATTTACGTTTTCAATCACTAATCCTTCAGTACATACCCTAGTGTTTGGTTTTGTTATGCCACAGTTTAACCTGTGCTGTAGTAATTGCCATTTAGTGAACAGGCATGTTATGGACATAAACTGTGAAGCTATTTGAAGTTAGCCTAACCTCACACACATCTTGCATGAAGTCGGTTCTCACTTCACAGTTTTCTTCAATATCAATTACCCACACATCATGAGGTACAGAGAAGCTTCCTATGATAAGGGTAACTTCAAACTTTCCTCTTGCTAGTAATTTATGTCCACAGTTTGTATCAATCCCTCCCTCTTCTTTCTTCATCTATGGAAGCAGTTTCCAACTATTAATTACCAAATCGACTCAAACTATTATAGCTGAAGAACCAATGTACTGTAAAGTTTTCCATTAATAAACTCATGGACTTGTGGATGGTTTTCCCCAAATAATGAACTTATCTCATTTGGGGCAGATGGAGAATTCCCAGCTGAATTTTGCTCCATTAATCCAACTAATTTCTGTTTTCTAAATGTCTGGTTATTTCTTTTTTGATCATTTCATATGGTTGGGCTCTGTCTCATAGGCTTAATAACATCTGTTTATTCCTTACAGTCTCAACTTAAATGGCCAGCTTTCCCCCATACATAACAGTTATCTCATTCTGATGTCCTTCTTCCATAAAGGTGTTTTTTTGCAGTTCCTGGCAACATGTCCTTTCATTTTACATGTGAAACAACTGTTGTTTTGTGGTTCATTTCCTCTTATCTATGAACTAGTTGTCTAACTAATGCTTTCAGTTTTTCTAGACAGTCGAGGAATTAAAATTTCAATACTATAAGATTTTATATTCTTGCAACTTCTTGATGCTGCCCTCAGTAGTTTATCTACATCTTTAATGGATTCTAGTTCCATCACAAACTGCAGAGCTTCCTTTAAAGATGTAACCTACTTTGCTTCAGCCTAATTCTCATATCCCCATCCATAAATCAGTCATGTGCCAATGAATTCATATAATTTTGCATGAAGCATTTGGATAAGATAATTGGATAAGCCTTTCCAATTTTTCTTCTTCAAGTTCATAATTTTACTTTGGATATTAATTTTTTTCTCCAAATCTGAATGGTCTTGAGTAGTTTTGCTTGGGTATCTTGAAGGATCTTGTTAATATCAGGGGATAGAATGGAAGCTGTAACTTAATTTGCAAACATTTAGGTTGAATTTGTAGATCTCTGCATCTGATGAGGAAAAGAAGGTGGTTGTTAACTCTTTCAGCATGGTCTCGGTCCCTGGAACTGACCTTGTAACCATTTTGTGCTTGTTATAGTTTTCGTGCTATAACTCTTAAAGTGGTAAGCATATGTTAATGATATTTGGCAGATTATAATTTTTATTTAGTCTTAATGTTTGTTAAGCAATGTTTTTTCATGCCTTTTTTCTTCTTTTTGCATGTTGCCTATCCAACATGCAAAATTATTTTCATTTTAAGATTCAGAATACATTTGTGCATCAGAAAATTTTCAAAAATAACATGCACAAATTTTATAATGTCTAGATAGTTATCAAACGTTTCTTAAGAAAAAACTTTATATTTTATCTGTTATTTTCAGTGACGAATCTCTGTATGGGTTGGGTCGATTTGACTGATCTCGTAACCACATTAAAAAAATTAGGAAATATATATAAATTATGTATTTTTCATTCTAGAATGACTACAAATTATAACATGAAAACATAAATGTTTAGACTAAATAGCTTAAATATCATAATATATATTTATATGTATTTATTATTTTTATTATAATGACATTTCAGCCATGCCTGGCTAACAATACACAAGTTACAATGACGCCGTGCACGAGCACTCTTGTTACTGTATCAAATAATATAACACTGACCTGTCTTGGCTACATTTTAGTTGACTAGCATTTTGTAAAATACAGTCACATTTCCATTATTATACATTATATATGTATATAGATTATTGCTGTTTAGAAATAAGTTCTTAAACTTATTTTTCTTAAAACATAGAACAGTAAATAAAGAAGTAAAGTAAACAATTATCTCTTCTAGTTGCAACATTTATACTCAGTTGCTGCTTGACATAGGTTGCTAAGCCTTTTAAAATTTTGCACGTGGAGGATATGAAACACAATTTATTTTAGGTTTTATGTATAAATTTGAATAACCAAAAAATCATAAATTACTGTATTGATACCATAGAATTCTACTATAATTTATCAATCTTAGTAATTAAGCTGTATTTCACTCTAAAAAAATATGAAATTTTGAGCAGACCAAAGACATACTCGACCTCCTTGAAGTATTGGTTCAAAAAAAGAAACGGTGCTAAGTCTGTTAAAATACCTGAGAAACCCACTAGGGGGACATTCTGAGTTTTTGAATGGTTATTCACATGCCACATGTTAAAGTAAGTGTATATGAGGGAGCATTTCCAAAACTGGAAACAGGTAAGTGGAGCCACTGTGTTTGATTCCTTACATGAGTGATATATCAGAAAACAGAAAAGATATGAAGTTCTTATTTTATATTCTAGCTTGTCATTATCAGTAATTTGAGTTTCTAATTCATACAAAGCTATAGACTTAGTATTTTGACATCACAAACATCTAATTTGAACCAGTGCTGCATTCAACGTACCATGTGAGACACAAAAATCGATGTTTAACTGTTTTTTAACATTTACTTTTAAATTAAGAAATTAAATAATGTATAATACTAAAAGTTTAATTATAATCTACAGTTTGATACCAAACTTATTAACATGAATTCATGAAATAGTAGTTCAGTAAAATTTTGAATGCAAGTCAACAAATGCGATGACATGGCCTTTGACCCGTGACCCATCTGGAAAAGGTTAAAGCAGGCAAGTAAGTTGAAGTGATGACTGTATCTGTTAAAATTTTCAAGATGGCTGGCCTATAATGTCTCCTGATATTTTATTTCAGTAAAACTTAGACAGAGTAGACATAGTAGGCTTGAGAACTTTAATGGACTACAATTGCCTGTTGAAAGAAAAGGAGACAATGTTTTGGCTTCTATATTGAGGCCTACAGTAACAGATGGCACAGTCATAGTGGTAATAAGTGTAGATCAGTTAGGTTCTCCTACTCTATACTTTTTAGTAATTTGTTTTAGGTTGGAATGTTTGGGCAGATGGAGAAAGAGATGACTGATTTAAACTCAATTTTGCTGTTAAAACCTTTCCATACTTCTGCAGTCTTGTTGTAATCTCTCTGTATCTCTCAGTGTTTCACATTTGGAAAATGCACAGCGGCTGTAATTAGCCACCATCAAATGCTTTGCAGGAGCTGTTAGCAGGCTGATGCCATATCTTGACTCTTTGTTTACAAAATTGGATAATAAAAGTTAATTTGTATTAACTGAATTGTACTGTTTCTACCAGCAAAACAGAGTTTTACTGGTTAAACAGTGACATGTTTGCAGCATGCTAATGAACTATGACAATGTCCAATCAATATGACAGCCTTTGCAGCCTTGTATCATGCAGATAGTTGTTCATCACATGCAACTTAGGTCATGATCTTGCTTGTCAGAAGTTGCTAATAATTAAGATCCAGTTTTGTAATTTAAACATTGAAACACTGGCTTAGTTTCGCA